ACACTACACTACACTACACTACACTACACTACACTACACTACACTACACTACACTTACGCACATGAAATAGGCAAGGAGAGACTCATGAGTTATAAATTGAGAACATTCTCCTAGGCTGAGGGGGTAGGTCGTGGTAAAGCACTTGTCTAGCGTGTACTGGCCTCGATCCTCGGTACTACAAAGGAAGAAGAGATACCTGTCTTTTTGGGTGTCTTGTTTTGTTTTGAAATAGGATTCCATTATGTAGCCCTGGATAAACTCAAACTCACAGATCACCAGCCTTTACCACCTAAGTACTAGAACTAGGGGTGTGCACCACTGTGCCTAGCTAATTGAAGAAATTTTAAAAGGCACTTTCCTAATTAACTTATTTATCAAGGAAGAGCTCATAATACAGTTTAAAACATATATAGAACTAATAATAAAAATATATATAACCAGTTGTTGCAGAATATAAAGTGGTATTTAAGTGGAACTCGTTGCCCTAAAATGCCTACTTCACCACCTCCCAGTGATAATTCTAGACAGTACAAGAAATGAAAGAGCAAGAATATTATTAAGAAACATATAAGAGCTAGAGAGATGACTCCATAGTTAAGAGCACTGGCTGTTCTTCCAGAGGACCTGGGTTCAATTCCCAGCACCCACATGGCAGCTCAACAGCAGTCTGTAACTCCAGCTCCAGGGGCTCTGGCACCTTCACAGAGACATACATGCACCAGTGTGCATAAAATAAAAATAAATACATCATTAAAAAAAAACAGTATAGAGGACTTGTGAGATGGCTCAGCAGGGAAAAGCACTTGCTGGCTAACAACCTGACATCAATTCTTGGGACCCACATGATAGAAAGTAAATACCAGCTCCTGCAAGTTGTCTTCTGGACACACACACATACACACACACATACACACACACACACACATACACACACACGCATACACACACACACAGGCACATTCTTACACGCATGATAAATAAATAAATGTAGTGAAAATGTTAAGAAATGTATATAACTTATATTAAGAAGAAAAGTTTAAAAATAGATCTGGGTACAGTGGTACACCCTGTAAGCACAGCACTCAATGGGCTAAGTCAGACCAGCCAGGGCTGTGTAGCAGTCAAAAGTAAAAAAGGAGAAAGTATCCTGATCAGTGGTACCACATTTAGTTGATGTACATGGAAGTACATGTACCCCTGAACCAAAGCATAAAATAAAGACACTTGTAAAGCTATTGTTTTCAAGGGTTGAGTATGTATCGGATCAAGGCTCTAGCTTTAGAGAATAATATTCAAAGAGAATACTTCCCCTACCCCCCCCAAAAAAAAATGAAGAACTAAGCTGGGTGATGGTGGCACACACCTTTAATTCCAGCATTTGGGAGGCAGAGGCAAGTAGATCTCTGTGAGTTTAAGGTCAGGCCTAGTCTACAGAGTGACTTCTAGGAGAACCAGGGCTACACAGAGAAACCCTGTCTCAAAAAACAAACAACAAACAAAAGATGAAGAAAGAATTTTTATTTTAAGCCAAGTGGTGTGGCACACCCCTTTAATCCCAGTGTTTGGGAAGCAGAGGTAGGTGGATCTCTTAAATCCAAAGCCAGCCTGGTTTACCTAGAAAGTTACAGCACATCCAGGACTACACAGAGAGATCCTTTCTTGAGAAAGACCAAAAAGAAAAAGAAGAAAGGAAAGTTAAAAAAAAGAAGAAGAAAGAAGAAAGAAGAAATACTAAATGAGATTCAGTTAAGCAGTGTCCCAAATGTGGAAAACTTTACAGGAAAAATGTCACCAGAGAAAAGCAATTAACAGAGTCTAGAAAATGAACTTTAAAAAGCAGAAACAGGGCTGGAGAGATGGCTCAGTGGTTAAGAGCACCGACTGTTCTTCCAGAGGTCCTGAGTTCAATTCCCAGCAACCACATGATAGCTTATACCCATCTGTAATGGGATCTGATGCCCTCTTCTAGTGCATCTAAAGACATTTACAATGTACTCATATGTATAAAATAAATAATTCTTTTTTTAAAAAAAAGCACAAACAAAAAAAAATTTTTTTGATAGGACTTTTTAAGATCATCCTAAACTTTAACATGGTTTTTAAGGCAGGAGGATAGCAGTTTGAGGCCAGCCCGGTCTACCTTAGTGAGTTGTACTAAAACCAGAACAGGAAAAGAGAGAATAATAACCCTGAGCCCAGGACGTGAGGACACAGCCGCAGTGGACAGAGACAGCAGAGGATCTCTCTTGACAAGCTGTCTTTGGGCTTCTAGTCAGTCTCACCAAGTAACCGAGAGGGTGACCTCAAATTCATAATCCTCCTGCCTCACCCTCCCTAAGAAGTAGGATCATAGGTGTATCCCACCACACCTATTTTGTCATACTTTGTAACTGAAAACACGAATTAAAAGCAGGTTAACAAGACAGATCAGGAGATAAGGGCACTTGCTGCCAAGCCTCGTGACACGAGATCAGCCTCAGGGCCAAGAGGGTGGAAGGAGAAAACTCATTCCTGAAGTATGTGCTCTGACTTGTACACGTATGTCATGGTGTACACAGACACACACGCACACACAAATGTTAAATAAAAAAATCTTAAAATATTAGAAGCGAGCCGGGCGGTGGTGGCGCACACCTTTAGTCCCAGCACTTGAGAGGAAGAGGCAGGCGGGTCTCTGAGTTCGAGGCCAGCCTGGTCTACAGAGTGAGTTCCAGGACAGCCAGGGCTACACAGAGAAACCCTGTCTCGAAAAACCAAAAAAACAAAAAATTAGGAGCGGCCTCGATAGCCATCAGTAGAAAAATGGAACCAGAATCATTACGCTGTAAAACACCATGAATAGTAATACAGCACCTACAAAGTGTAAAATATGCAAATTAGTACTGTTTATTATTTATCGGTATATGGCCTCATGTAATTATAGAGAGATGTGTGAAAGTAATAAGCCCCAGTTTGAGAGTAGTCATGGTGCTGGCGCCAAGGCAGGAGCAAGGGAAGATGGTCACAAGGCTCCTATCTGTCCCAATATATTTATAAAATGAAAAAGAAATTACTAGGTGTACGTGGTGCACACCTGTAACCCCAGCACTCAGGAGGCAGAGGCACGAAGACTACAAGTCCGAGGCTAGCAAGGGCCAAGGTAAAACCCTGTCTCAAGAGAACCAGATGGTCAGTAAATACATGAGTCATATTGGTAAAATGTTCGTCTCTCACAGGTCTCCTCTAGCCGGCCAGATCTCTCTGGCTTCGATGAAGACGATAAGGTATGTATGTATATAGTGTGTATCAACACCTAAGTTCTTGAGAAGATACTGTTGTGTTCAGGTGTGTGTGTGTGTGTGTTAAAGATTTTATTATATGCATGTGTTTGCCTAAGTGCATGTCTGTGCAGTGTTTTCTTTTCTTTTCTTTTCTTTCTTTTTTTTTTTTCCTTCTTCAAGACAGGGTTTCTCTGTATAGCCCTGACTGTCCTGGAACTCACTCTGTAGACCAGGCTGGCCTTGAACTCAGAAATCCGCCTGCCTCTGCCTCCCAAGTGCTGGCATTAAAGGCGTGCACCACCACCGCCTGGCATCTGTGCAGTGTTTTCATGCAGTGCCCACAGAGGGCAGAAGAGGATCTTGGGACCCCTAGAATGGGGGTGACAGATGGTTGAGTGTCTATTTGTGGGTACAGGGAGCAGAACTCAGGTCCTGTGTTTAACCACTGAGCCACCCCTCCAGCCCCTGTGCTTACCATTTTTGTTGACATGCTTGAGAAACTTAAATTTTAGTCCTTAAAGGCAGCAACTCCTAAGAAGGTGAATGAGTTCCTGTGAGTTTCCTGTCAGAGCCAGTGTCTGTGGCTTTTCATAGTTCATAATCTCAGGCGTATGTCAAATAAGCATACCGTCTCGTTTACCAAAGACAGTCTCAGCTTGTGTGCTCTCCAGGCAGGATTAGAAAGGACTAGAAAGATCATCTTCATTAAAAGCGTTTTAGTCTGGTCTTAAGTTAACCAGTCACCGACTGCAAGCGACTGCCCTAGGGAGGGAGGGAGGTGGATGAGGCTACATGGGATTTCAGAGGTGGTCTCCCAGAGGGCATGGTGCCTGGTCCTGTAATCCCAGTCCTCAGCAGGCAGAGGCAGGCAGATCTCTGTGGGTTTGAGATCACCCAGGACTACATAGTGTGAGCCTATCTCCTCAAAACAAGACAAAACAAAATTTCATTACTGCGGAGAATTTTATTATATATTAAAATAGAATAAAATACTAACATCTGTTCACTCTGGTTTTAGTGGTATTTGATTTAATCATGGTATACTTATCATTATATATGTTTGAGATGTTTTGCAATAAAAGTAGTTTTAAAAAGTTGGGGGGGGCACATATGCTACTTTAAAAAAATTACGGTAGGGGGCAGTGAGCGGGATGTAAAGTGAATAAGTAAAAATAAATAAATATTTAATATAGTTAATAGTATATATTTAATGTATTATTTTTATATTATATAAATGAATATTTATTTTTATATATGTAAGAGTTGGGTATAGTGGTACATGCCTTTAATCCCAGCACTTGGGAGGCAAAGGCATGGATTTCTGCATTTGAGGCCAGAAAAGACTCTGTCTCAAATAGGAAGGAGAAATGAAGAAGAGAGAGGAAGGGAAGCGAGAAGAAACTGAAATCCAGGCTTCTTTTCACAATTTTTAGAGTGACTTCATCGGAGCTGACCTGTATTTTTACTTTGCAGGGCTGGCCCGAGAACCAGTTAGACGTGTCTGACTACAGCTCCAGTTACCAAGATGTCGCATGCTATGGGACTTTACCCAGGGACTCGCCTCGCAGGAGCAAAGAAGGTAGTGGTGGCAAGATTGCTTTTGGTGGTATTCCTTTTTAGCTGGGCTCTGAAGCCAAATTCCACTTACGCAGATGCCCAAAAACCATCTTCTTAACTGAAATACTGGATTTCTTTTTGCTGTGTGTTCAACATCCAACACATAAAAAAAAAAATAGACAAAAAAAAAAAACAGTTGCTCGTCTGTGTAGATGGCACTGGGGATCAAAGCAAGAGCCTCGGGCATGCTCAGTGAGACTCTACTGCTGAGTTCTCTCCTGCTGGAAAGAATACTTTTTGTATGGGATTTGAAATTCTCCAAATCACTATTCAGTTCATCGTGTTCTGACCTTGTTTTGAGACATAAGTGATTCTCATTCAGTTTTCTTAAAAGAGTATTTACCTATCTTGTCTCTTTTATACTCAGATGTTTAGGGAAACCTGACTTCAATACCTATCGCAGGCTCATAAACAGAAGCAGAAATGAATTGGGTGAGGGGCAGCATTACTGTGTAAACAGTCTCCTTGAGCAGTCAATAGAAATGAGAATCAACGATTAGCATCTGTCTTAGTCTTTACCAAAATCAAGAATCAGTTAGCAGGAATCGGAAAGAAAACAGAAGGAGACAAAGGCCAAACAAGGCATAAGATCAGTATACTCTTCATAGCCACACAGCCCAAGGAAAAAGGGACATAAGAGAAAACATATGTAATATTCATTCACTGAGTATACCTAATGAGCTTCTGTTTGCCTTTAAAATATAACCATGGGAGCCGGGCATGGTGGTGCGCACCTTTAATCCCAACAGTTAGGCTGATCTGTCAGTTTGAGCCCAGCCTGGACTACAGGACTACACAGAAAAACCCTGTCTTGAAGTCGGGGGGAATACACACACACACACACACACACACACACACACACACACAAACACACACACATTTATATCTCACCATGGAAATAATATATAGCAAATACAACGTTCAGTGATAAATGTCAGAATATACACAAAGATTATTAAAATGTTAGGAATTCAGAGGTGGAGAGTCAGCTTGAGATGGAATTAGTCTAGTAAGTGGAGCTTTAGCTGGTTCTTGCAAAGAGTTGAGGGGCTGGAGAGATGGCTGGGTGGTTAAGACCACAGACTCTGTCGCAGAAGACCCAGGTTTGATTCCCAGCACCAACAAGGCTCCTTAAAACCATTTAAAACTCCAGGCCATCTGACACCCTTTTCTAACCTCTCTGGGCATCAGGCATGCATGTGGTGCAGAGATATACGTGTAGACGAAGCACCCATACACATAAAATAGATAAATAATAATCTTTAAAAAGAAGGTTTGGGCCGGGCAGTGGTGGCGCACGCCCGTAATCCCAGCACTTGGGAGGCAGAGGCAGGCGGATTTCTGAGTTCGAGGGCAGCCTGGTCTACAGAGTGAGTTCCAGGACAGCCAGGGCTACACAAAGAGACCCTGTCCTGGGGAAAAAAAAAAAAAAAAGGTTTGGGTTTTTTTTAAATTTCTGATTATTTCTCATTGAGCAGCCCTTTAATACTTCTTTGTAGCTATAGGTTTTATTGATTCTATTTTATTATTACATTTATTTCGTTTATATGGCGTAAGTGTGAGGGCCTTGGGGGTGTATGTCACAGCACACATGTCAGGGTCACAGGACAATTTAGGGGAGTCAATTCTCTTGTTCTACCACGTGGATTAAAATCCACTCAGGACGTCAGGTTTGGTAGCAAGCGTCTCTGCCTACTTAGCCATTGCTCTAACCTAATTAGTCCGTCTTCCCTCATCCATTGGAAGGCCGAACTAAATGTTCGCATACCGTTTGTGCTGTTGTATCAGAGAGCACCATGGCTGGGGGTGCTTACTTTCCATTGCTATGACAAACTACCTGAGAAAAATTCACTTAAGGAAGGTTTGTTTGAGTCGGGCAGTGGTGGCACACACCTTTAATCCCAGCACTTGGGAGGCAGTGGAAGGCAGATTTCTGAGTTCGGGGCCAGCCTGGTTTACAAAGTGAGTTCCAGGACAGCCAGGGCCATACAGAGAAACCCTGTCTCAAAAAAAAAAACAAAAAGAAGAAAAAGAAAGAAAGAAAGGAAGGAAGGAAGGAAGGGAGGAAGGAAGGAAGGAAGGAAGGTTTGTTTGTTTGGACTCGTTATTTCAAAGGTTTTGACCAAGGGTCAGCTTGCTTCATGCTTTGGAGCAGAGACAGAGCAGAACATTAGAGTGGTAAGGGGCTGTGACTGTGAATCCTCCACACCTCAAGAAAGAAGGGAGAGAGGAGAATCCTGGGACATACCATTCAGAGGCATACTCCTAGTGACCTGCTCCCTCTAGCTCCGTCCAGTCAGCTATGAACTCATCCGTGTCAGTCTGCACTGATGAGGCTAGCCCCCTCGTGATGTGATCAGTGTAAAGTGGAATTGGGGTGGGTACTAACCCTAGGTAATAGCCTGGCTCCTGTGCCTTCGAAGATGCTCAGCTATCTGAAAACTCATGCCCTCTTTGTATCTCTCAGGTTGTCCATCCGAGAACCCTCATGCCTTAACAGTCAGCCCTTTTAAAGCGTTCTCTCCTCAGCCACCAAAGTTCTTCAAACCCCTAATGCCTGTAAAAGAGGAGCATAAGAAAAGGATGGCCCTTGAAGCGAGACCCCTCCTAAGCCAAGAGGTAAGTGCTTGACTTCTCTCTGCTGTGTGGGGTTGATCGGAACCGTGCAGTCTTCGGAGAGCAGTGGTGTGAAGTCTCATGCTGGACACTGCATGGGATCGTGCATGTGTTACGTCACTCTGCGAAGCCCATTCTCAGAAGCCTTTCTCTCAAGCATGCAGGCCTATGGCAGGAGGTTTTATTATCGCCACGGTTTGACTTCTCTGTAGCAATGACTTTTAGATCTATTTTATCTTTTGAGAGAGAAAGAGATGCCCGGTAGGCATTTTGAAACTGTAACAGGCCTTTCTGTATCCACATGTTGATAAAACCAATAATGATGTGGCTTGCCACGGAGTATGTGCACTCCAGTCAGATTTTACCAGTAGTTTCACTCTGACCCTTAACATTGGCTGCTGTGTCACTCACATGTAATAAAAGTGTTGTTGTTGCTATTTCTAACATGCATGTACTTGGTAGATATGTTGGCTGTGATTGTCTCCTGTGTGTGATGCATCTGTGTGTCTTAACCTTCGCAGAGCATGCCTCCATCCCAGGCACATAACCCTGGCTGCATTGTACCCCCAGGAACCAATGGCAGCAGCATGCCAGTAGAACACAATAGCAAACCCGAGAAGAAGATTGTAAGTCCTGGAATGTTTCTATCATATCACCTGGTGGTGGGTCGGAAACCGTTTCCCCAATTCCGCCTTCCAAATGCTTTCAAAGACATTAAGACATGTGTTGAGTCCTGACTTTACAAATGAAATGTAGCTCTTGGTAATGCCATTTTGCATGAATGTAACCTTGAACTGTGATTTTTTTTTCCTCTCTAAGTGTTCTATTTTATTTAACTCCTTTCCACGTCAAGTTTCGTAGTGAGTGGGGGTGGGGGGAGCATCTTTGATGGCTCTGGTCATCGTAAAGAAAAGCATAACAGCAAGGTCGGTTTAACTAATACCAAAATCTCTCTGATGTGTCTGTGCACATTGCCCAGATTCTGAAGTTAATCTACCTAGAGGAATTGCATTTACTCGGCGTAAGTAATCCTGCACTTAGTTGTGGGTGTGTTTGAAAGCTTTCTTGTGTTGCTGCTACCAAGATATCTGCATAGTTTGTAGCCACTCTGCCCCCATCATCCTCCCTCCTCCTCTCCATCCCTCTGGCACCTTCTGTTTACCTACCTGACAAAATACATTCCAACCTGGTTGTTCTTAGCCTGGCTTTTAGAGTGACGAATCTGCATTACTCAGCAAAGTAAGGTAGAACTCTGCCTGCAAAACCTTAGTCTCCAGCATGGTTCCAAAGCTGCACTGTCCAAGTGTTGGGAGGAGCGGCTCACACCTAAGATCGAAAGTTCAAGGCCAGCCTGGGCTGTAGAGTGAGCTGTCTCCAAATAAATTAATAAAATAAAACAAAACATATGAGATATCATTTTGCAAACACCATTGTCCCTGCTACTTTTGGCTCTAAGATATGCCTCAACTTAAAACCAGTTTTTTTTTTTAACTTGTAGGTTTGGAAGCCTGGGAAGAATCATGTGATGTTATTTCATGGCTTTCACTGCCCTGTGAAAAGGGGGAAGTGGGGGAGGGTGGAGAACCAGCCTGGGCAAGAGAAGGCTGTTTGATGTTCACTGCTGCCTATGATCCGCTGTCTTGAGCAGTGTGGGAAATCTCATTCCCAGCCAAACAGTGTCAGGCCCGTTCACAGGGTCAGGCCCACTCACGGTGCATCAGTGTGAGATCTGTTAGCTGCACCACACGCTATGCAGACACTCACTGCATCTTCAGCTGGTGCTGCAGCGGGCCGCTCATCTGTATTCAGAGCTGCAGCTCGATCATAAAGCAATGACTCTGCACTCCTCACAGAGGGGAGGAAGAAAAGGCATTCCCTTTCCTATCCACCCCTGCTCCTAAGTTCTGTTTGCCTGCTCCAGATTCTCATGGGAAAGAGGGTGACACGCCAGAGACTGTTCCCTCACCTGCATGGGTGTTAATGAGCCATCCCCAGTTAACCTCACCAACCCATCTCGGAGTGTAGGAAAATCACTGGGTGCACTAAAAGGGCCAGTGGCTGTGCCTTTACCCCTCAGGTTGTCAGGGTGTATGTCTGATAGAATCTGTTGTTGGCTGACCGACATTTGCTCTCATCCCTGGGTTATATAGACACGAAATTAAAACCATTTATTTTGCTTCAATACCCTCCAGAGGCTGCCAGGTGCCCCTTCTAATGCTATCCAGCGTACAGATGTGAGGTTCACACAGCTTGTCCCATGGTTACTTTCCTGCCTTTCCTTTAAAGATCTTAAAACAAAGCCCATCTCAGCAGGCAGAGTAGATGGCCGCATCAGATTCTTTTGACCCAAGACACCTGAGGCAGCACTTGGGCTCTGTGTGACCAAATGCATCATGTACAGATGCTGAGAAGGGTTGAATGGTATCTTTTTGTTGCCAGAATCTGACTGGAGAAAGCTGCCTCCGCTGGCCTTAGCGACACAACTGCTGTGCATGCCTGCTGCGCATGCGCGCTGCATCTGGGGCCATCGCACTGTTTTATTCTGTTTGGCGGTTTTCCGGAATGTTTTGATAGTCTAAGTGGCTTGCTTGTTTGAGCTGGGGTTTTTATTTTCTTGGGGAAGCTTTCATTTTATTTGCCCTCTCATAAATCGACATAAGCTACTGCCTTCCTTTTTGTTGTTGTTTTATTTTGTTTCTTTGTTTTTTGAGACAGGGTCTTACTATGGAGCCCAGGATGGCCTCTAACTTAGAATCCTCCTGCCTCAGCCACTTGTGTACAGGATGACAGGCTTATACCACCAAACTTGGCTATAGACATAGCCAAGTACTCTTGTAGCTTGGATGTCTGATCACTTAAAAATATATACAAGTATATGCCTTATCCTGTATGAATAAGATTTTTAAAAAGCAGCATTTTTTCTAAGTTTTTTATTTTTATCTCATATTGCGGTACAGGGTATTGAACCCAGGGCTTGTGTTAGGTAAACTCTGTCACTGAGCCATATCCTTTGCCATTGATTGATTGATTGATTGATTGATTGATTGTTTTGTTTTGTTTTGAAACAAATTCTTGCTAAGTTTCCCAGGCTGTCTCACTATGTAGCCCAGGCAGGCCCCAGACTTGCAATTTTCTTGCCTCCGTCTCCCAAGTAGCTGGGGTATCACATGGGCACCACTACGAGCAGCTTTGAGCTTGTCTTTTCTTAAGTCATGAGGTCTAGGGAATAGGGATAAGAAAGTCAACCCTTTCCCCTGTATCCACAATCCCTGTCTCCCGCCTTGCACAGATGGCTTTCTCCTCTCATTTCACTGAAGAAACAAAGGTCTGGAATGACTGAGCAGTTTGCCCAAGTCCTGGTTACTGAAAGTATAAGACAGAGATCCATGACCTTCAGCATAACTGAGTGCAGGTCTTAGCTCTGCCTCAGAGCCCCGGGGACAATGCATCAGAAGTGCTGGAAGCCATTTCTGGCAACCCTCCACAAGCTGACTATAGTGGCCTCAGAAGTTATGTTCGCTGTGTGATCCTCCCTACCAAGAGTCACTGATTTAAGAAGGGGCTTTAGTCCCTGACTTAAAAATCAAAGTGTTTTGTCTATGGATAAATATCACCTTCGTAAGTTAAATGGGGGCAAAAATAAACTCTCGAAGATGAGAGCTACAGCGAAGCTGAGAGTCTGGCCCCATGGTCCACCCGTGGGCCGGGTTGTAACCTTTCTTTTCTCTTAAACCATCTGTAGGAAGGTACTCCGTTCAGTGTCCTTTAAGATTTGCTGTGAAATGACCACACTTTACTATATTCTATCTAACTAAAGTCCCCCATTGTACACTGTGAGCCAGAAGAAACCTTTTTTTTTCTCCTTGAAAGCATTCCTCAAGCAAACTTTTAGTCTCCTTTTAAATGTTAGAAAACATTGAGCTGGGCAGTGGTGGCACTTGCCTTTAATCCCAGCACTTGGGAGGGAGAGGCAGGTGGATTTCTGAATTTGAGGCCAGCCTGGTCTACAGAGTGAGTTCCAGGACAGCCAAGGCTACACAGCTACACAGAGAAACCCTGTCTCAAAAAAAAAAAAAAAAAAAAGAAAACATTGAACACTGATTAAGGATTTTGGTTTTATTTTCTGACATAAGTTGTCCTTATCCTGATAGCCTATTTCCTATTTGAACTTCATCTCCTAGAGTTCATGGGTCCTTCAGTTTTCCCCAAGTCATTCTCAGCCTTTAGGAATAATTTTATCTTCCTGAGTTTGCTAAATTTCTATCCATTTCTACTCATTAAACTAATAGTTGCTTATGTCGTCTGGCAAGCAATACTTTAGAAAGATGAAACCCACCCCCTAGGCCCCTAATCCTCATTTGCAAAATTGCTTTTCTTGTGCAACAATTTTTTTTTTTTTTTAGCGACCAATTATATTGGGTACTCTTGGGCTTGGAAAATTATATTATCTTTTTAAGCTTAAATTTAAAAAATAATAAGGAATAGTAAAACTTGAAATTCAACTTTCAGTCTAAATATAATAAATACAAAAATCTAAAAATACAGGAAAGGGTAGGTGATTGAGATGACCTGTCCAGCCTCTGTTTTTTTTTAATCAACATCACAATCCAGAGGAAGAACATGCCGTCTATAGACACGGCTTTTTTGGTTTTGCTTGCTTTATGTCTTTGTAACACTAGTAAGCAAACTCAGTGCCTTGCATGTGCCAATGAGTCCTTTACCAAAAGAGGTACACTTCTCCCAGCCTGTACTCGTCACTTTTCTGTTGCTATGATAAAGAACCAGGACCGAGGCAGCTTATAAAAGAAAGCGTTTACAGTTTTAGAGAGTTATGATCCATACCAGCAACATAAAGATAAGGCATATAGCAGGAAGAGCTGAGAGCTAGTATCCCAGACCCCAAGAATAAGGTAGAGAGAACTAGCTTCAAATGTCATGAGTCTTTTGAAACCTCAGAGCTGGCCCCTGGTGACACACCTCCTCCACAAAACCACACCCCCCAGTCCTTCCCACACAGCTTCACCAATTGAGGACCAAGCGTTCAATTGGGTGAGCCTGTGGGGGCTGTCGTCATTCAAACTACAACACGGCTGTTTTCAAACTACAAACTCATTCAAACTACAACCACCAGTCTTTAAAATGAAAACGTATTGCATTGGTTTAGTTGTGTGTGCATGCATATGAGTGGTGTGCACATGATCCAGCACATGTGTGGAGATGAGAGGGCAACTTGCAGCAGTTAGTTTTCTTTCATCTTGTAGTTTCCAGGGATCGAACTTAGTTCCTCACGCTTGACAGCAAGCACCTTTACCCACTGAGCTATGTCACAGCCCAACCTTGAAAGGAAAAAAGACAGGAAGGGAGGAAGGAAGGGAGGGAGGAAGGAAGGAAGGAAAGAAGGAAGGAAGGAAGGAAGGAAGGTAATTTTTTTAAAAAGCATCTAACAATTGGGATACAAAGGCAACAGCTGAGTCTGATGGCACACACCTTTAATCTCATGCTTGGAGAAGTAGAGTCAGGCTGATCTCCGTGAGTTCAAGACCAGCCTGGTCTATGTAGCAACTTCCAGGCCAGCCAGGCCTGGACAGTCAAGCCTGTCTGAAAAGAAAACAGACAAAAAGATACAAGGACAAAGTGAGTATTCCCTTGTCAAAAATTTTGTTAATTTCAAGATCTTTGTCATTTGATATTTGATACTTATCTTTAAGATTGGTGATTTCATCAACTAGTTTATAGTCACTTTGCTCTCTTGGGAAGAGTTCTAAGATTAAACCGAGGGCCTATCATGGCCTAAGCACGGATCACTGAATGCACCTGCGGCTAAATGTTTTAAGCCTTAAAAACTAATTTTTAAGTTGAAGCAGCAATAGAGAATAAACTTTTTTTTTTTTTGAGCCAGAGTTTCATGTAGCCCAGGCTGGTCTTGAACTCACTGTTACCCAAGGCTGATTTCAGACTCATTATATAGCTGGTGATGACCTATAACTTCTGATCTTCTAACCTCCCAACCTCTGAGTGCTCCATAGGTGTGTGTCACCAAGCCTGATTTATGCAGTGTTGGAGATCTCGTGCGAGGCTCCACTCTGCCAACTGAGCTCTATCCCCAGCCCTGCTAAACTATTTCTGAGGTACTTAAATCTCATAAGATTATGAGATGCAAAAGAAAACATCACTATAAAATCCAACAGATGAGCTTTATATTTGTTTGTGAATAAATATACATATTTGTAGCTATCTGCCACATTTTTTGTGATCTCCTCTTTTTCTCTTCTAAATCATACAGCCCTTAATGAGGAATATAATAGCCAAGCCTGGCTACAAAGACCTGATTTCAAAAAACTAACTGTGTGTGTGTGTGTGTGTATCTATACATTTTTTAAATAAAAGTGATATCTGTTGGGTATGTAGGAGATTAGCTTAAAATTATTTAAAAAGTGTCAGTTATTTTTCTACCTTATATAAAAAAGTACCAGGCTGGCAGGAAGGCTCAACAGGTGAGGTGCTTGCTGTCAAAACTGACAACATGAGTTTGATCCCTGTGACTCACTGTAGAAAGAGAAAACCAACTTTCCCAAGTTGTCCTTTGACCTCCATACATGTGCTAAGGTATACAAGTGCAAACACACAAGTACACTCTCTGCATACATATATACATACATACATACATGCACATATGCATAAATATATCCATAAATACATGTTAGTTAATAAATAATGCTTTTTTTGCTTTTTTTTAATTAATTTATTTTTTTTTCAAATCATAATTTTTACTTATTCACACAGTGGTTATAAACACAAAAAGTCAGGACGTGGGGAAGGGGATGACACTGGAGTGTGGGCGTTCAGGGGGAATACAGATATCTTTCAGAACAGGGTATCGGCTGAGTGAAGGTTCAGGGGACAGGTCGCTATGACTCTGCCTAGCTTTTGTGGAAATTTACCAGCCTGAGTAGTCATAGACCTTGTAAATAGGTAGCCTTGGCAGATAATAAGTAATGCTTTTTAAAAGAGCGCTTAAGAGCACTTGTCGCTCTTATGGGAGACGCAAGTTCAGTTCCTATGTGGCAGCCCACACCATGACCCACACCCATCCATGACCCTAGTTCTAGGGCAGTCAGTGTCTTCTCCTGGGCTCAAGCAGCAAGCCCTCACACGGTATACAGACATACTTGCAGGCATATAGACACTCATATAACAAAATCAATAGATTTAAACAAACAAATTTTAAATATTTATAAAAAGAATTTTTAAAACCAAATAAATGTATCACTTGCTGGCAGAGGCTGAGTTGATACAGACTTTTATACCAATCTTTGCCAAGTTCCCAACTACTTATGCTGGCGAATTCTCTTTATCTTCTCTCTCCCTGTCCCTCTCCCTCTCCCCTTCCCTCCCTTTCTCTCCATCCTTGTGTTCCAGCCAAACCTCTTTCTGCTTCTCATAGACCAAGGAAAGCAGTCATTGATGAGCTGTTAGCATGTTTCAGTGTTACAGTATTTAGTAAAATACTGAGTGACGAGTTCTGGGCTATTCACCAGAGTTCAGAAATAGTCACAGATGACCTGAATCTATGCATTCTGCTTCCACAAATTGAAGATTGTCAGAGAAAACAAAGAAGCCTACTCCTCTGCCTCAGGCCCTGCCTCTACTTCCCTGACTGAGTTCCTATTCTTAAACCAGAGGCGGATGGCCTTCAGATGAGTATTGAGGGAACCCAGAAGAAATAAACACATCGCTGCTAGGCAACAGTGTGCTCCCAATCACCAGTCTCTGAGAATAAGATAACTTACTGCCAGAGATGACAAGACTTGGCCAGACCTAAGAAAGAGGCTAGGTCTGGTGGTACATACCCATAATTCCCTGTTCTCAGAGGTAGAGGGAGGAGCATCAGGCAGTCTAGGCCTGTCTACCTAATGAATTCCAAGCCAGCCACAAACTACATAAAACAAACAGAAAGAAGGAAGTGGGGGAAGGGAAGGACCATGGGCATGGTACGCCTTTCCTAGCATAATGAAGTATGTCTCAGACTGTTGCTATAAGGAGCTAACGGCTGGCTCTGGCTTCCTTTCTGTAGGACTCGGAAGAGGAGGAAAATGAGCTGGAAGCTCTCAGCAGGAAGCTGATGCATGCACAGCCTTATGTGCCCGTGGAGTTTGCTGACTTCAGTGTTTACAATGCCAGCTTGGAGAACAGAGAGTGGTCGTCTTCTAAAGCGGACCTGACAGACTCGAGAGTCTTGGAGAAAGCAGTGTCTCGTAGCCCTACCACCAGCAGCCTCACCAGTGGCTACTTCTCCCACAGTGCCTCCAATGCCACTCTGTCTGACATGGCAGTCCCTTCCAGCGACAGCTCAGATCAGCTAGCCATCTCAACAAAGGAGGCCGAGTGCAGTGAGCATCCAGGACCATCACTTGCTCCTGATGTCAGACCAGCTTCAAATCAAGAGCATACAGAAGTAGAAAGAGGCTTAGTGAAAGATAAGACAATCGCTACACCATTGGAGGAAAACCGTGCCTTACCCAAGGGGAGCTCTCCCCAGAGCATCCCTGAGGAAAATTCCAGAATGCCGTGCAGGACTGCTTCATGCTCAGAACTGGATGCCAGCCCCAGCAAAGATGGCCACCAAGCTAGAGAATTCCGCCCAGGAGAGGTGACGATAGAACACACTACAAACATTTTGGAGGACCATTCCTTCACAGAGTTCATGGGTGTGTCTGATGGCAAAGACTTCGATGGTTTGGCAGATTGTTCTATAGGAGAGCCCTCCAGTAGGAAGAATCTAAATGAAACAGACCATAAAGGTATCCCAGAAGGACCCCCAGATGCTGACCAGCTGCATTCCAAGATAGAGAACGACCAGGTAATCACTCCCAGAGGCAGCCCTTTGCTGTTCCACGTTCTCAGTGAGCACAGCTTGTCGGACACCGGCCCACCAGAAGCTTCTCATCACAGTGAGGTTTGCAGGAGAGCTTCACGTGATGTTTGTAATTAGCAAGATGGGTCCACTGTAGAGCAAGCTCACCTGTCCTGCTCACCTGCTGTGGGGGAACGGCTCTGCTCTGGGAGTCCCAGCAGAAGCATACTTGTTGGCTTTTGTTGTTGCTGGTGCTTTCCTTGGAAAATGGGTTGGCTGACAGATGAGTCAGTGTCAGGCTCGAGTGGATGAGGAGCGGTTTGTTCTCGCCAGTGTTTGAATGTTTGGCTAACTCAAAGCAAGCTGGCGTAGCAGCTACCATAGTTAATCAAACCTGTGGTTCCTCTGCTTATCAGAGGTTCCATTAGTTTTGTATCACAAGGTCCTGAGTTCAGGTCTACAGCACCCACGTAAAAACCAAGCATAGTGGTTTGCTTCTGAAGCTCCAGTTCTTGGCAGGGAGGTGGAGGTGGAGCAGAGAGGCAGATCACGGGGCGGGGGGGGGGCCCCCCCCGTAGTGTTAGTGGCTGCCCAGATTAGAGATATCCTAGCTCCTAGTTCACTGAGGCCCTTTCTCAAAACTTAAGGTGGCTAGCTGAGTGTGGTAAGGCACACTGATCTCAGCGCTCTGGAGCAGAGACAGGTAGATCTCTGTAAATCCAAGCCAACCTGATCAACGTATGGACTTCTAAGACAGCCAGGGCTACATAATAAGATCCTGTCTCAAAACATGCAAACAAACAAAACGATGACAGTAACAAAGTCAGGTAGAGGATAGGAACAGAGGAAGACAGTCACATAATGTCACCTTCCTCGTGGCATTTGTAGGTGTGCACACACACAAAAAAAGAACAGTGGGCTGCATTAGAATAGCTCGGGGAGAATATTTACCTAGCATGGTCGAGGCTTTGGGTTCTGTCCCCAGCACCACAAAACATTAGCTGGGCGGTGGTGACTCATGCCTTTAATCCCAGTGTGTGGGAGGCAGAGGCAGGCAGATGGATCTCTGTGAGTTGGAGGCCAGCCAGGTCTTCATAGTTCCAGAACAGCCGGAGCTGCACTCGTCTCTTGGGGAAAAAAAAATGATGCCCTTAGGTGGAGATGTGCAGAGCACAATTAAATCTTGAGTTTCGGGTGCTGCTCTCCATTGATGGTTTACGGTATCGTTTAATGTGCACACTGGAACAAAATGGGCTTTATTGGGAAACGTAAACTACGTAGCTAGATTTCCAACTTCGCAGTTTTTTCTCCATCTCATTTCCTCTTCAATTCCATGCTTATGTAAGCTACAGGAACATCAGGGCTCAGCAAAACAGAGTTCACCAGACAGGAGAGAAGCACCAACTCTTGGTGAAGGAGGATGGGACAGCCACGCCACACCCGTGGTGCTGCTCCTCATTCTGCCTAAGCACTGTCACTGCCAATGCCTTCTGAACCAGCCCTCAGACTGTGCCCTGAGACCTTTGTGGCTAAGACTGGCCTGAAACTCTGGAATTCAGAGACTTCCTGGCTCTGCCTCCTTGCCTCTGCCTCCAGGGTGCTAGATTACAATCTGTGAAGCCCCATTCCTGGAGAAGGGGAAGGGTCTGTTAAAGTTAGAAACAGGCTTCCCCAGTGTAAGGACGCTAGCGGTTAGGAACACAAACGGAGACATTCATTGTTCACCTTTGTTCTTGCAAGCAAATGTGAATTTACGTCAGGTCTTCCATGTCCTTCACACTGGTCTTGAGTCTGGTTTTTTTCTTCTTTGTTTCACTTTTTTGTTTTTGTTTTGTTTGAAACAGGGTCTCAGCTGGGCGGTGGTGGCACACGCCTTTAATCCCAGCACTTGGGAGGCAGAGACAGGCGGATTTCTGAGTTCGAGGCCAGCCTGGTCTACAGAGTGAGTTCCAGGACAGCCAGGGCTACACAGAGAAACCCTGTCTACAAAAACCAAAAAATAAAAAATAAACAGGGTCTCTAGCCTAGGCTGCTCTTAAACTCCCTGGTTTCTGGGATGAACTTGAATTTCTGATTTCCCTGCCTCTATCTGTCCCATGCTGGGATTACAGGCATTCACTACCACCTATGGTTTAGACCGTGCTAGAGATGGAACCCAGGGCTACATGTACACTAGGTGATCACCAGCTACACCACCTTCTCTGTTTGTTTTGATGACTTTGTTAGATCTGAATAAGGTTTTCTTTTCACCCCTAAATACCCACTGGGGGACTCTGGTGAAGCCAAATAGTCCCATCAGGAACGGCACCACCCCAAGGATCAGCCGCATTAGGGGTGACCAGGGGCCTGAAGTTTTCACAAACCCTAAGGGTAACTTCAGAGGAGGTTGGATGCTCCCGGCTCACACTATGAGAAGCCTAGCCTGTTGGAGAAGAAAGAGAGGATGTTGTCTTTCTTGTTTTGTTGTCCTGATGGATCAGTACACAATATGAAAGAAGTTTCACCGTGAAAGATCATAGAATATTCAGTCCACGTGAAGAGCTTAGTTTAAATGGGTCCCATTTCTGTAATCCCACTACTCGGGAGGCTGAGACAGGACTGCCTAGGGTTCAAGACCAGCCAGGACTACAGAGTGAGAGAGCCTGTCCTCAAAATCTAAAATAGGGGGCTGGAGAGATGGCTCAGTAGTTAGGAGCACCAACTGCTCTTCCAGAAGTCCTGACTTCAATTCCCAGCAACCACATGGTGGCTCACAACCATCTGTAATGGGATCAGATGCCCACTTCTGATGTGTCTGAAGACAGTGACAGTGGACCCACATACATTAAATAAATAAATAAATAAATAAATAAATAAATAAATCTTTTAAAAAATTCTAAAGTAAATAATGTACAGAAATGCTGGTTGCATTTGAATAATGATATTTTAGCATAGCAATTCTTTTTCTTTCTCTCTCTTTTTGAGATAGGATCTGTGTAGCCCTGTCTGTCTTGAAACTCACTATGTAGATCAGGCTGTCCTCACACTCACCGAGATCCACCTGCTTCTGCTCCCAAGCTCTGGGACAAAAAGTACACACAGGCACACTTGACTGGCAATTCTTTTTCTTCAAAAAGAATTATGTGTGTCTGGAGAGATGGCTGGGCTGGTGAAGTGCCCACTACATTACCATAAGGAACTGGCTTTCAATACCCAGAACCCACTCAAAAAGTCAGAGGTGCAGGAGCCCACCTTTAACTCCAGCACCCTGGAAACAGAGGCAGGCAGATCTCTTGTGTCTTGGAGACCAGCCTGGTCTACATATTGAGTTTCAGGCCAGTGAGGGCTGCACAGTGAGACTGTGTCTGAAAAAAATGGGGTAAAGTTCTACCGAGGAAGACACAGGACACCAGACTCTTACCTCCATACGCACCTGAGTACCTGGTATTTGCAGTGCTACAAATTGGGTCTAGGTTCTCTTGAATGCCAGGCAACTGCCCTACCCACAAGCTATAACCCTAGTCTATATGTTGACTTTAAGATGACGCTACAAGTCTATCTGAGAGCTGGAGACATGGCTGAGGGTAAAATCTCTTGATACTTAAGCATGAGTATTGGAGCTTGAATCCCCAGCACCCATAAAAAAGCTGGACATGGCCATGTGGGACCTTAATCCTAGTGTCTAGGGTCAGAAACTGGGTGTCCCTGGAGTTTGCCAGCTGACTTGTCTGAACTGGTGAGCTTCAAGTTCACCTGTTAAGACCTGTCTGGGGGTTGGGGGGGGGAGGTGAATAAATCAAAGAGTAATAGGGTGTTCTCCTCTGGCTCCCTCATGTACAGGCACATGAAGTACACATGTATGTACACATGAAGTATACATATATGCAACGACTACTCATACACAGTAATAGCTGTGTGAAGGGCTAAGAAGGCAGCTCCGGGGTATAGTGTTCGTCTAGCATGCATGAGGTCCTAGGTCCAGTTCCAATTACTTGGGGGAAATAAAAGGAAACCCAAAGTCAGTTTGGAAGCATCTTTTAAGTTTTTGTTTTAATCCTGGAATTCCTCAAAACAAGAGTTACTACTTCCCATAGACGCCTCACCCGTTCTCTAAGATTCCATAATGAATCTGGTCAGGTCTGACCCTTCAGAAAGCCCCCTGGAGGGTGGGCCCGGTGTGGGGGTGGGAACATCGGGACAAGGAGCTTGGACTCACTGACCTCTGTATTCCAGGAAACCACGGCCACTCGGTAAGGGACAGCCATGCCTTTCCCAGCCACAGCTCGGCAGCTTTGTTCATCGGTCCCACCCTGGGACAGTCCATGCTCCATCTTCAGACAGCTGTGACCCAGCTCGACCTCAGACCAGCATGGGGGAGCCCTGCACTTCCCCTCCCCAGTGGGAGAAGCAGCACTTTGTCTCATGGTCAATCACAGCCCCTGCTCTTTCCAGAAAGGAAGAGAATCAAAATCTCAGCTTACCTATGTGGCAGTATTTTCATTAGCACTTCATACAAGCCCTCTCTGTGCAGAGACCTCCACAGACTCAAACTTTATTCTTGTACATTTTTAATCAGTTCTTCCTGCAGACTCTGGAGTCAGTGCTCTGATCTCTTTTTTATAAATAATATATATTATGTATATGAATTGTGTATCTACGGTATGTCTGACCAGAGACATATCTGCACACTAAAAGGCAGATAGATGATTTTTCGAAAATCACGAGGTACTGGACTTTGTTACAAAGCGACCCAAATGACTGCTTTGACACGAGCAGATGAAAAGCATATTTTATATTATGTAAGAACGAGGTTCTAAATCCCTCTTTATAGAAAAAGTTGCAGGCACTGTTCTTTATAACCAAAGAACTTCCAGGAGACTGAACGTCTTTGCTGTCCACTCTTGTTTTGTGTGAGTATATAATCTCACTCCAGTCTGGTGCCATACTTCCCTTGGCTACCAAGCCACGTGCTGCCGTGGTCCCTGTCCCCTTTCCTAAGCACACTGAGAAATCGCACAGCTATAACCTTTGGTCTTCCACCTAGCCTGGTACCTACTGACTTGATATTGACATGGCTGGGGCTCCTACTCCACCCTAGCATCTACCAAATGCTGTCCACCTAACCAAGCAGGCGGAGTGCACAGGGCAGTGTTACATCAAGCAACGCAACGGTGTACCAAGAGTCTCCATCTGCGGCGGCTTTATCAGTCTGTTTCAGATCGCTACATTCTCTTGTGGTGTGGGTTCGCCATTTTGCTTACCTCTGGAAAATGCTGTAGAGAGGGACTGAGCTATCAAGTTCATATGTTTGCACGTTACCTTTTTTGAGGGGAATTGAATGTGGACCGCTCTGTTGTCATTTTTCTTTCTTTTTCATTTTTCAAAGTATCCTGCAAGGAGAGACACTGTAGGATTGTTGTGTGGAAAATTTTACAGGTATATTTTATGTGCTTACTCTGTAGATGCCTGTACAATGGACCTCCATGTACAGCTACACGTGTGTTGTGAGGCAGTGAGGGAGCATGTGTGCAGCCTGCTGTACTTTTTTTTTTTAAAGTTCTTAGCATTGGTGAGGGAGATATGGGAAAGTCTATTGACAAGCTGCTGTTTTGTGTGTATAGTGAGCTGACGGTAGTATTTTACTATCATCTGTTTAAAGCAAAAGCTGTAATTTATATTCCCTTTGAACTTTATTGTATTTAATTGGTACAGATTTGTGTGTGTTTTAGAATACAAACTGTCTAATTCAGAGTTCAAAGCATTGATTGTCTGTTCTTAATAACACTACCATGGGGGTAGGATCAGAGCTCAGTGGCTAAACTGTTGCCTATGCAAGAATGAAGACCTGAGTTCAAATCCCAGAACCCATATTTGATAAAAGAAAAAAAAATGAAGGCCAAGTATGGTGTTAGATGCAGAGAGAGGTGGACCCTTAAGGCTATCGGGCCAGCAAGCTTAGTCTAATCAGTGAATCCCAGACCAGTGAGAGATTCTGTCTCAAAGAGCAAGGTGAACAATGTCTAAGGAATGACATTGTCCTGTAGGCTGCATACCCACACATGCCATTAGGTTCAGATCCAATTCACTGTCTTTGTGTGCAGATGTACAGCTATGCAGTGAGAAAGCCTGCTGACATTTATTGGTTCATCGAGGGCTTCCGGTCAACCAGGCACTGCCCTGGATACATTTGGCTTTACTTTGGTTTCATCTGATGGCCCAGGGCACTGTGACCATCAGACTTTACTAAGTGTTGGTTAGTGGAGAGCCACAGCTGAGAGGTTGGTGATGGAGTCTCAGCAAAGCTGGGTTTCAGCCCACATATCTGGCTGGCCTCTTCCCTCGTCGTCTCCTGGAAGGGCTGCACTTCCAGAGAACAGTTACAGGACACAGCAGTGTGTGGTATGATAATGACAAGCTGATGACCTAACGGGAAGCCAGGGGCCTTCTGGGACAACAGGGACATGAATTGTTTCCAAGCAAACCTTGGACCAGTGTTGAAGATGCCTTTGCAGAGTCTTTATAGGAAAACAGCTTTTTTGAAGTTTCCAGGAAATGGAGCCCAACAACCAGTGTCTTATGTGGGCTTCCAGGAGCGAATTCGACCAAGGGAACGTTTGTATACAGTTAAACAGTGAGAATGAAACAGTTGAAGCGCTTGAGAGATAGCTCACTCAGGAAGTGCTTGCTGTCGAAGCACAAAGACCCAAGTTCAGATTCCCAGCATCCTTGTAAAAAGTCGGGCATAGCAGCATTGACTTCTGGGGAAAATAATTGTTTATAAAAGTATCTTTAAAATTCATTAAGGGCGGACACTATCTTATATATTATACTGCCCCAAGTTGTAGAGTGAATCTCATGCATTATATGGAAGTATAACCTGTCAATAAAAATCTGACGGCCTGTTAGCTAAGGCAGGAAATAGGAGATGGGAGTTCCAGTAGGGAGAGAGGAACTCTGGGATGGAATCAGGCTCGAGAGAAGATTCACCCCTAACTTTGAGGAGACAGACGAATGTCTGAGGAGATATGTGAAACTTAGCAGCAGTAACCAGCCATGTGGCACTCATGGAATAGAATAAATGGGGTAATTAAGTTACGAGCTAGTCAGGGAATGAGCCAAAACTTACAGCCTAGGCATTTTAAGAGTTGTTATTTCAGGAGCTGGGGTGCAGATGGAAAAGCCTGCTGATACACCAAGCAATAATTACTTTTAAAAAATGCTATTCAAGCCTCAGAACAACACTAGGGAGACAACTAATCACCTATTTATGTGACTAAACCTTTATTTAAAAAGTAACGCTTTCTGGTTGTGTAACAAAAGGGTCTCGAAAGAAGATGTGATTTGAGCAAGAATTCTTACTGTCTTTTGGAGTAAATGCCAATGAGCATGATTCTGGCACATGATTGGTTAAGAAACTTTTGATTTTACTTCCTATAGTATCAGGGACACACATCTTTCTGTAACGTAGAGCTCATCTCCCAGATTAAGATCCAAGAAGAAAAAGCTAAACTGTACATAGTGACACATGTGCATAATCCTGGCGCTTGGGAAGGAGAGGCAGGAGGATGACAGCAACTTCAGAGTCACCCAGGACTGCATAGTAAGACCATGTCTCAAAAAAAACAAACACGCCTTTAATCCCAGCATTTGGGAGGCAGAGGCAGGCGGATTTCTGAGTTCAAGAGTTCAAGGCTAGCCTGGTCTACAGAGTGAGTTCCAGGACAGCCAGGGCTACACAGAGAAACCCTGTCTCAAAAAAACAAAAAAAAAAAAAACAAAAAAAAAAACCACTAAATCTGCAATATATATGGTACATGGTAGGTTTTCTCCTGGTCAAAAGAAAGCCATCCAATTCCAACAGGAAAAGCATCTTCAGCAGAGGTCCGAAGCTTACCCTCCCCTCTTGCCTGTGGGGAGACAAATCCAGAAAGTGTCAGGAAAGAGCAGCATCTGCCCTTCCATAGAGCCGGGGTCTGGGTGAAACAAAAGCCCACAGACTAAATTGAACCTGCTTGTCACTGTCTCTCATCCTTTGAGGGGAGGGAAAGGGGAGTACAGCTTTGAGAACCAATTGTTTCCAGAATAAGATTTGTACAGGTGTGATCTAACTTCTTCGCACACATGCATACATACACATGCATACATGCACACCCTCGGATCTGAGACATTCATCCAGCACTGTGTGTTCTTGGTAAAACAATTCTTTCCCATCTTGGGGCTCATTGGGTGCTTGTATCCTTGCAGACTGTCCTCATCTAGAAGACAACAGGTTGTGACTCAGTCATTATAACCCCACAGGCAATGGCTGCCATCTTGGAGGGTTTCTCATGCTCAGAATGGAACTCTGGAATCCTTCATGGGCCCTGTTCATGAAGATGTCGGGATACTAATTAATAGGACAATTGTATATAGAATATTGTATTGATGCAAAAAACGACAGCTCTCATCTTAAAGGGAATAAGGGATAGTTTATTCTGGAGCCCTTTGAGTGACCATGGTCTGGGAGCAGAGATTTACGTTACCCCAAATCTCATGTTACCCCAAATCCCATGTTCCAGTGTGAAAATCATTTTGTGAAGTTTTACAGAACAGAGAAAATATATCAAGGTAAGTTTAAAATACTTTGGTGAGTATATCAAAGAGTCAGCTACAGCAAGAGGGGGAGCTTTTCTGTAGATCCAAGATGCTCTCTGATGACATTCTTAGCCTCTGGGATGGTAGACGCTAGTGATCTGTTAATAGATTTCTAGAAAGTTATCAGTTAGTCACAGGATGTTGGTTCAGACTCAGAGGTGGGCAAGGAATGTCTGTTCCAGAGGGCTATCACTAGCCCAAGATAAGGTAACTGGCCTTTGGACTAGCCTTAGGAATGTTGATAACTGCAACATTCCTAAGATTCCAGTCAGCCCTCTAGTCTCTGTAGACGCAGCTTCTTTAGGAATTCTCACCCGTACTTGTAAGAAGTAAAAGTTAAAAAAGAGTTTCTGAGAAACGATATAAGTACCTTGGTGATTAAAAAGTTGGGTTGGCGTTAGACAGAGCTCAGGGAGTCTTACGGAAGAGCAGGGGTGGGGGGCGGGGAGGATTGAGGGGCCTGGAGGGAATAGGGATTCCACAAGAACAGAGTCAACTAACCTGAACCCTGAAGGCTCCCAGAGAAATGAACCACCAACTAAAGAGCATACATGGGCTGGACCTAAACCCCCACCCCCAACACACACAAACACAAGGGAGCAGATGTACAACTTGGTGTT